AGACTGCTTTATCCAGATTGATTATAAAATTAACGTTGAAATCTGTAGATGCATAATAATTCTAGTTATATTGATTAAAATAGAACCGTATCCCGTTCCGAGTTTTTTCATCCACTGCTGGACTAAGAACTCCAAGCTTTTCCAAGAAGCTGTTGTTTTCTGCATTTCTTATCCGTCTCGATTATTATTATTATGTTTTATTTTAAAAAATTAAAAATGAATTCACGTAAGCGTCGTTTACAGATCAACTCCAGTTTAAGCTGGAACGCTGAATGTAGGGTTTTTTGCTGAGACCCACCTTTGAGGTTAAAGACGACGTCGTATCCCGTGACGTCATAAGACAATAAATATGGTTATCATGACGAGCAGAGTCATGCATCTCAGCGCAAATCTTGTCATGGTAACTATCAAACGGTTATGTTCAGGCCCACATCGTTAAACTCCAGCTAAAGCAGAAAATTTCTGAAACTGAAATTGACACTGTCCTCGATTTTAGCCAGGAACTCTTGCATGCTACTAAGATTCGCGGCAAAAGTACAAGGAAGGCCGTTGAAAATCTTCTGTTAAATTTACTTTCCTTGGAAAAGTTTAGAAATCTCCTGTTCTTGTAGATATTTATTTGTCGAAGTTTGGTTATTTTAAGTTGTGTACTTTTAAATTATTATTATTGATGTGTCCAGCTTTGTTAATGTATGAGACGATTGCAGTTTCGTAAAACTTTCTTGACTTCGGCCGGCTGACTAATCTGGTATTGCGCAACTCGCGTTTTCTGAGAAACACTGTTTCGGTCAGATAAATGTGTTTGTGTTCGACAAGGACCAGTCAAGGATTGGTCTTTTGATAAAGCAGTCCTGCATATGTTGACAGTAAAATATTGTATGTGCAGTGAATACTCCTCCCTTGTGGTGGTGCTTGAAAACTGAGGCGGTATCACTAACGTAATAACGAAGTTTGGAAGGAGGTAATAAGTGGTTGAAATTACACTCTATAATTTCGAGTTTTGAATACGTTGGTTGAAATCTGGTGGCAGTCGGTCGCTCAAACTTTAAATCGATGTATTCTGCTAATGTTGTTGTCCGGAACGGTTATCCGTCCGTATCGCTATGAATCGAAAATAATCTACGTTTCTCTTGTAGCCGGTAATGCCGCAGTTTTACTTGAGTATTATTAAGCCTACTCCTGTCCCGTGTTCCTGCGTTTCAGCATTATTGCCTGCATGTTCAAATTTACGCCATGTTTACGCAGCACCGATGTACGCAGAGGTTTAGTCAATAATGCGGTAAAAACAATATATTACCAGTCTGAGCTGAAAAGCAAATTAGTCTTAGTCTCAGTCCATACGAGTATGACAGATTACCAACGTGTAATGTCACATATGCATAAGGCGGCTTATATATCAGTTGTGCTCCGGCGATGCTTCGAATGTGCATAGCGAAACGCGTTGGCAATAAAGTGTTAACGTAACATTGTCTGGAACCCATGACTATGAAACGGTAAACCGTGTTATGGTCATATTTGTCATCAACTTTATTCCAGTACGTTTGGTATTCAGCAAAAATTTTATCAAAAGAGTTCGAACTGCTGCAAAGGAAAAAAAATCTTGAATTTTTTGATTTGACTTGATTGATCCTTCTTCGTACTTGTCGGGGATCATCACTGCCAGATATCGATGTTCACGCTCGTTTGTCTGGTGCAATTTCACCGTTAGCCCTGATATTTTTTTAACTTACTACCTCATCTGAATTGAGGTCTTCATATGGGGCGCTTGCCATCCCGTAAGTATCACACCGTCATCGCTGAAGTCAATCTGCCATCTGTCAGTCGTGAATTGTGACAGTTT